GGTCCATATTGAATCTCTTGAGTACTTTTTCAGTATATGCCTTTTGATGCACAAAGATTTCATTATTCACGTACTCAAGTTGCAATCCCAAACAGAATTTTGTCTTGCCTAGGTCTTTCATCTCGAATTCTTTCTTTAGATATTTGACTGTTTGGGCGATTTCCCCAAAGGTTCCAAGGATGTTTAAATCATCCACATATACTGCTATTATCACAAACCCTTTGTTTGCAAATTTCTTTATGAAGATACATGGACTGATGGGATCATTCTTATAACCTTCTCTGACTAGGTACTCGCTTAATCTATTGTACCACATGCGTCCACTTTGTTTCAGTCCATAAAGTGATTTTTTCAGCCTTATGCAGTATTGGTCTCGAGACCCTTTCTTATCTTTATCTTTGAGCTCAATACCCTCTGGTAATCTCATATATATCATCCAGTGGACTTATATAAATATGCAGGCATTACATCCATTAGCCGCAAATCAAGTCTTTTTCTTTATATAGCCAGACTTAGCAAAATTTAAATGTCTTAGCATCCACCACAGGGGAGTATGTTTCTTCATAATCTATCCCCGGTCTTTGTGAGAATCCTTGTGCTACAAGCCGTGCCTTATATCTCACGATTTCATTATTCTCATTTCTCTTCTTCACAAAGACCCATTTGTGTCCTACTGGTTTTTACATCGAATGGTGTCCTTAAGGTCGGACCAAACTCATTCCTTTTCTTAATGATTCTTAGCTCCACGTTTTATGATCTTGTACCATTTAATCAATCAAGTCTTTGAGTGCACTCTAGTATAGACGTGGGCTCCTGATCCTCATTTATATTCATAAATTCAAGTGCTACCTTGCATGCAAAATCATCTTATGTCGAGATTTCTTATATGTTCCATTATGTTCCAGACATGATATAATCGATTTGAGATTTATTATGGTCAGGACCTTTAATACTTTGCAGCTTGGCGTCCCAAGCTACATTATATGGTACCTGTACCTTAGAGCCGGCCGGCCTTATCTCCATGTCTGGGATGGTTTCCTTAGTAACCTCGGATTCCTATTGCACCTTTCTTTGATTTTCGAGGATTTTTATCTTTGGAACCTATTGGTCTACCACGTTTCTTTCGTGTGTTAGACTCGGTAGCAATTTCATTGATTCCCTTTTGGATATCAATACGTACTGGTGCATTACAAGCTGGTATGTACGTTTTTGTAACTTTCTTTGGGTCAGCAAAGGAATCTGGCAATTGATTAGCTAGCTTTTCAAATGTATAATCTTATGGACCTCTGATTCTCATGCCAGAGTCCGAGGATCTTGCCAATTTAAGGATGTTTGATTCCATTATATTTCTTTTATTGCTTTACCCAGCTTGTTCGTCTCTCCACCTATAGTAGGAAATTCGGATTCATTCAAATGACAATCCGCGTATCTAGCCTTAAATAGATCACCTGTAGTTGGCTCTAGATACTTAATAATGGTGGGAAAATCAAATCCAACATATATTCCCATCCTCCTTTGAGGTCCCATCTTTGTTCTATGTGGTGGAGCAATCGGTACATATACGGCACACCCGAAAGTCTTTAGATGGGATATGTCTGGCTCATGACCCATGAGTAATTGGGATGGTGAATATTTATGTTCACTAGATGGCCTTATGCATATAAGCTCTGATGCATGTAAAACAGTGTGTCCCCAAGCGGCTACTGGAAGCTTCGACCTCATGAGTAATGGTCGAACGATCAATTGAATTAGTTTAATGAAGGATTCCGCTAATCCATTCTGTGTATGTACATGTGCTACGGGATGTTCCACACTTACCCCCATGGACATACAGTAGTCATTAAACGCTTGGGACGTGAATTCACCGGCATTGTCTAGACGTATAGTCTTAAGCGGAAAATCTGGAAAGTGGGCTCGCAGTCTTATTATCTGGGCCAATAACCTAGCAAACACTTGGTTTCTAGTAGATAGGAGACAAACATGCGACCATCTTGTCGATGCATCAATGAGGACCATACATATATCTCCTTGTATCCTTTCCAAAAATTTTAAGGTCTCTTTATTTACCTTAGCCGGTGATGGCCTTATAATGAGTTTCCCTTGTGAACATGCTTCACACGTGAGATTCTTAGGGATAACTCTTTTCTCTTTTAGGGTGTGCCCCTTTGAATTTATCATAAGCTTACGCATCATACTATGACCCGGATGGCCAAGCCGGTCATGCCATAAAGTGAATTTCTCGATGAAATCTTTGTTCATTGCCATATTAGCTTCGATCATATCGATTTTAACATAGTAGAGACCAGTGGATAATGCGGGTATAGTCTCTAGGACTTTCTTATGTCCTTGGGTGATCTCTTTGTTCCCTTCACCCTTTGTTTCAATATGGAAACCATTCAATCTTATATCTTTGAAACTTAATAAGCTCCTCTTCGAGCTGGGTGAATATAGGGCATCGCTTAGTTCAAGATGCGTGCCATTTGGTAATAGAATATGGGCTTGGCCGTAGCCCTCAATAAGGTTTGCTATACCCGCTAAGTGCTAATATTGGCATTTTTCATTATGAGATTTAGGAAAATATCTCTTATCTTTTGTGTGGCTCCACTATCCACCACAATTATGTTCTTGTCCTCGGCCATTTCTTATATGGACAAGAATCATGTTCTAAACATAAAATAATATAAAATAAATTCAAGCAAATAACAATCAATGAACACATAAAATGCAAAGAAAAACATAGAGGTTTTGATGTCGAAGTAAAATTTATCAACTTGATTCTTTTATGCAATCAGAAGTTTCATACTCTATTAGATCATCTTGATCATGTTCACCATCTTTATATACCAAATGGGCTTTAGGATTCTTCCCTTTTACACTCTCTTGATAGAGGTCACAACGATGTTTGGAAGTCCTACATATCTTAGCCCAATGGTTTCCCATTCCATATCTATGGCATACTCATTTGGTCGAGTGTTGTGGTTTGGAAATACCACATCGTCCTCGCCCTCGACCACGGCCGGAATTGGGTCTACATCCACGGTTAAAGTGGTTCCCACGGCCGGATGAGTTATAGTGGCCACAACCACGTCCTTTCCATCCACCACGGTCACGACCATGTGGTCTATCACTTTAGACGTGGTTATATTCTTTGGATTCTTTCTTATCCTCTGCGGCCTTATTGGCATTAGGTAATGGGGTTAATCTATGAGGTCGTAACTCACTGTTTTTATCTGTAAGTCATTATTTTGCTCATCTAGCAGTAGACTCATCCATGGACTTATAGTCCTGATTATGAGACTCTCAATAAGACGGTGGCTAATATTGCCTTGTATCTATCTTTCTTTCTTGGCATTATTGCCTTATTAGATACATTTACCAAGTCCTTTTGACTTTAGGATAATCTTAGTATCCATTGCCCATTATAAAATAATTATCTCCTAAGAGATTTAGGGCAGTAAAGTACAAGTTGTAATTCAACATCTACAAGGAAAAGTTTTGAGTCAAAATCATGTAATCGTTAGTGTCATGCGGTATTTGAGACCGAACCATGAATCGATTTACTTAGGGATTTGACTTTCCTCTTTTGCTTAGGATTAGATTTCCTCTTTTGCTTAGGATTAGATTTCCTCTTTTAATTAGGATTAACTTTTCCTTTTCCTTTTAGGATTTACTTTCCTCTTTACTTTAGGATTAATTTTCCTATTTCACTTATGATTTTAGATTTTAAGATTTCCTATTTTAATTAGGATTTTAAGGTACAATAGGATTTAGGATTTTATTTAGGTTTTCATGCTTTCTATTAGGATTTTAAAGTTTCCTATTTTATTTAGGATTTAGGGTTGTTAAGATTTCCTATTATCCCTAAGATTTTAGGGTTTTAGGCTTTGAAAGTTTCGGCCTTAGTTTAGGTATTTTCGATTTGCGATTTTTAGGTTTAGATAATTAAAACTTCTCTAGCAACTTAGGCGAGTTTAGCTTAAGCGATAATCAACTTTTTTTAGCAACCTAAACGAGTCAAACAATCGAGCAAACAAGCAATCGGATCAAGCAAGCAATCGAATCATACAAGCAAAGCAATCACTTAATCAATCATCAATCGTTTTAGGGTTTCTCTTTGCTTAACTTTCAAGTTCAATTGTTGGTTCTTTAGCTTTAGGGTTTTGATGTTACCTTTCACCTTATGGGGTTGTATGGACTAGAACCGGGAGCTAAAGACCTCGGTAACTCACGCTACTGCAACTAACCGCAAACAGTACCACGATGAACAGTACCGCGATGAACAGTGTCGCGATGAACAGTGTCGGCGATGAACAGTGTCGGTGATGAACAGTGTCGGCGATGAACAGTGCCGGTAATGAACAGTGTCGGCGATGAACAGTGTCGGCGATGAACTGTGCCGCGATGAATAGTGTCGGTGATGAACAGTACGGCGATGAACAGTACGGCGATGAACAGTATCGCGATGAACAGTGTCGGCGATGAACAGTATCACGATGAACAGGTCGGCGATGAACAGTATCGCGATGAACAGTGTCGGCGATGAACAGTGTCGCGATTTTTAGGGTTAAGGTTTTAGGGTTTTCGTTAAGAGCAAGTCGTGCTGATAACGTGTTATAGAACTTGTTGTTCTTATTGATTAATGAATGAGGTTTCAATACATATTTATACATGACAAGGGGAGACAAATCCCCATTGGACTAGTAAACCCTAAAGCCCAAAAGCCCACTAAGTATAACATAGACCGTCATAAGGAGAATCCTCTAGAACATGGACATGGGCCTTCTAGAATATGGATTAGGCCCACGGTTATGGAGTCCATCCGACCATACGGTCTACAACAATGGAGTATATCTTTCAAGGACCACAAAAATCCCAATCCATGATCATACATTTATAACCCCAATCTCCGGTTTAGTCGGTTTTGTCCATTACGATGATGTTAAAATAAATTTGGAAAAATAATAATAATTGTTTTTATAAAAATAGAGAGAGAGAGGAAAAACAAAAAAAAAAAATCAAAAGCGCCAGTATACAATCACTTCCAACGTACTCTCAAAGGTCAGAGTACCAGCAGCGACCATTAGAACAACAATGGAGTCTACTAAATCCAATCCCGATGGCTACCAAAATATCTTAATGATGCGTCACGGTGATCGCATTGACCAAATCGATCCACTCTGGCTCGATACAGCTGCGAGACCTTGGGATCCTCCTCTCGTTCAAGACGGTATGGTTCGGGCGTTTCGAACTGGTCAACGGATTCGATCACAGATCCAATTTCCGATTCACCGTGTCTTCGTCTCCCCTTTTATCCGATGTATCCAGACTGCTTCCGAAGTCATCGCTGCTCTCTCCGCCGTTGATTTCGATCCCAACGCAACGTCGTCTAAAGACGTCGCTTCCATCGATAAATCTAAGCTCAAGGTCAGATAATCCCCCGTCGTTTTTACAGATACTATCTTAGGTTTTGAAATTCTTGTGGTGTTCATGGAATCTCTGTTGATTCAATTTTAGTTTAAGAATCTAGATAATCATTGTAAAGTTTGCGTGATATAAAGTCATCTTAAGGTTGATTCTTGTATGCTTCTCAGGTTTCTATTGAATTTGGATTGAGTGAGATGCTGAATTCAATCTCTATTAAGCCTGAGATTGCTCCCAAAGATGGGAAATTTGATTTCATGATTTCAGATCTTGAAGCTATGTTTCCTCATGAAATGGTTGATCATAGTGTAGATCCTGTTTATAAAGAGGTGAGCTTTAGGACATGTTCTGTTTCTGTCTATCTTCTAATTCTGGAAGCAATTTGAGTATAAAACTTGATTCTTCTTTTAATTATCTATTGTTGGGTTTGTTTAGATGCCACAATGGGAAGAGACTGTGGAAGGTTGCACAGATAGATTTCTTAATTTGATTAAGACTCTTGCTGATAAGTATCCTTCAGAGAACTTGCTCTTAGTCACTCACGGTAAACTAAAACATTATGTTCTTAAGTCTTGTTGATCTTTGTACATATTCTTTCTGCTTTGTTTCTTTGGAAATAACATTGTTTTTCTAAGTTTTCATTAAAGCAAAGTGTCTATGAATAGTAGTCCTTTTTATCGATCAAATTCGTATTCAAATGTCTCTCTGTTGGGAAAATGCAGGGGAAGGAGTAAGGACTACATTTGCAACCTTTAAAGGCGTAGATGTGTCTTACGTAGAGTATTGTGCTTGTTGAACTGAGAAGACAGGTATTGAGTCAAGATGGGTCTACTAAAGCTGGGGGCTTTGAGGTGATTACAAGTCTTGGTCAATGTGGAATCAAGTACCATTCGTTGAGCACCTCAGACCAAACTCCTGTTTAAGTCAATGTTCCAGATGATCATGGCACTAGAAAAATACTGGATATCTAGAAACTCCTGGTTAACCGGACATGATCAGAAGACAAAGCTTGCTTCTTCTTCTTTCATGGTGTTCTGCACTGAGAGTTGAACGAGCTGTAGGATTGCAGGTCCAAAGATGGATGGATCCTTTGACCTCTTGCAAGGATTAAGAGAACTTCTTTTTTAAGTGTTGTACCGGCGGTTGAATATGTTTTTGTTGTTTATTATTGATTCTAAACGTAATTTTGGTTCTCAAGTCTTTTAAACTGATTATGCCTTTTTATTTCTAAAATGTCATGTGTTTTGATGTATTCTTACTCTTTATATAGTTACCTCTTTCGTGCATATTATAAGCACCATCAGAGATCTTCACCTTAATTTAACTCATCACATTGTCTCACATAAACAAAAAAAAAAAAAGAAAAAAAAGAAAAAGGAAATCTTTATGTGACCGTTAATTGTGATTACAGAGAAAGGAAATCTTTAAGACCGTTAAGGATTGTGATTATCAGTTTCCTTTTCTTTTTGGGCCTCTTTTGCTTATAAATAAATCTCTCAACCCTAACTTCTTATTCTTCCCTGTCAGAGAAATCAAAGCTTCTTCTTCTTCTTCTTCGAGCGAATGTCTTAATACAGAGACTCTGTGAATTTCTTTTTTCTTTTGAACCTCTTTGCTTATAAATCCTCTCTCTCTCTCTCACGCATTCTCTTAACGCTTCTTCTAATTCTTCCTTGTCAGAGAAAAATCAAAACTCTCTATTTCTCGTTTCTTCTTCTTCTTCTTCTTCTCGAGCGAAGTCTTTATACAGAGACTGTGAATTCCGATGATGATGATCTCAAGTAGACATTGATGAAGTAAAATCCGCAGTCTCTCAACGCTGATGATGATCTCAAGTAGACATTGATATCCGCAGTCTCTAAACGCTGATGATGATGCCAAGTAGACATTGATGACGTAAAATCCGATGATGATCTCTGCATATACATCGTTTCATTCATTGAATGATATGATCTCCATCAATCCTCTGTCGTCTTCTCTCTAAATCAAGATCGATTTCAGTTCGCCGGATTATGACCTAGCCACCGAGCCGCTTTCACCGGAGACTACGAGGAACAAAGAGGATATTGAAGAGAATTGGTGTTATGTCAAATTTCAGAACAACCACAAGTCGCCTGACGATATCTCCAGGTACTTTCTTACCTTTTTTCTCTCTTTTTTTTTTTTTTAAAAGTTTTTGACTTTCTGATTTTTCTGATTTTAAAAATTAATTATAGTGTTAAATTTTTAGATATTTTAGATAAAACACTTAAACTTTAAGAAAATAAGTTTAAACTTTAAGAAAACTAAAATAAGTATAAAGGTTTAAACTTTAAGAAAACACTTAAACACTTAAACCAAAACTATGTTAATTTTACTATTAATTTTTTAAAATTAATTCAAGTATTAAATTTTTAGATATTTTAGATAAAACACTTAAACTTTAAGAGAATAAGTTTAAACTTTAAGAAAACTTTAAGCTAAAATAAGTATAAAGGTTTAAACTTTAAGAAAACACTTAAACCAAAACTATGTTAATTTTACTATTAATTTTAAAAAATTAGTTCAAGTGTTAAATTTTTAGAAATTTTAGATAAAACACTTAAACTTTAAGAAAATAAGTTTAAACTTTAAGAAAACTAAAATAAGTATAAAGGTTTAAACTTTAAGAAAACACTTAAACACTTAAACACTTAAACCAAAACAATGTTAATTTTACTATTAATTTTAAAACATTAGTTCAAGTGTTAAATTTTAAAAACGTTGAAAACAAACCGCGCCTAGGCATCCTGTCCTTAGTTGGTCTGTAAGCTTTGGTGTTCGAAGTTCGGCAACTTTTCACGTAATATAGATTTAACACTTAAACTCATTTAAAACATAATAATAATTTTCACTAAAATTTAACACTTAAACTTTAAGAAAATAATGTTTTAAACCTAAACCATATTAATTTCACTATTAACTTTTAAAAATTAATTCAAGTGTTAAATTTTAAAGACGTCAAAACTAACCGCGCCTAAACATCTTGTCCTTAGTTGGTCCGTAAGCTTCGGTGTTCGAAGTTCGGCAATTTTTCACTTAATATAGATTTAACACTTAAGCTCATTTAAAACTTAATAATAATTTTTACTAAAAATTTAAAATAAATTTAACACTTAAACTTTTAAAAAATAATTTTTTAAACCTAAACCATGTTAATTTCACTATTAATTTTTAAAAATTAGTTCAAGTGTTCAATTTTAAAAACGTCAAAAACTAACCGCGCCTAGGCATCCTGTCCTTAGTTGGTCCGTAAGCTTTGGTGTTCGAAGTTCGGTAACTTTTCACGTAATATAGATTTAACACTTAAACTCATTTAAAACTTAATAATAATTTTCACTAAAATTTAATACTTAAACTTTAAGAAAATAATATTTAAACCTAAACCATGTTAATTTCACTATTAATTTTTAAAAATTAGTTCAAGTGTTAAATTTTTAAAACGCCAAAAACTAACCGCGTCTAAGGCATCCTGTCCTTAGTTGGTCCGTAAGCTTTGGTGTTCGAAGTTCGGCAACTTTTCACGTAATATAGATTTAACACTTAAACTCAATCAAAAACTTAATAATAATTTTCACTAAAATTTAACACTTAAACTTTAAGAAAATAATGTTTTAAACCTAAACCATGTTAATTTCACTATTAATTTTTAAAAATATATATTTAACACTTAAACTCATTTATTAATTTTTAAAAATTAGTTCAAGTGTTAATTTTAAAAACGTCAAAAAATAACCGCGTCTAGGCATCCTGTCCTTAGTTGGTCCGTAAGCTTTGGTGTTCGAAGTTCGGCAACTTTTAACGTAATATAGATTTAACACTTAAATTCATTTAAAACTTAAAAATAATTTTCGCTAAAATTTAACACCTAAACTTTAAGAAAATAATGTTTTAAACCTAAACCATGTTAATTTCACTATTAATTTTTTAAAATATAGATTTAACACTTAAAATCATTTTTAAAAATTAATAATAATTTTCACTATAATTTAAAACAAATTTAACACTTAAACTCATTTAAAACTTAATACTTAAACTCATTATAACACTTAAACTCATTCCACTATTAATTTTTAAAAATTAGATAATGAATGTGTGGTTGACCAAAAAAATAAAAAAAAAATAGTTCAAGTGTTAAATTTTAAAAACGTGGAGAACTAACCGCGCCTAGGCATCCTTAGTTGGTCCGTAAGCTTTGGTGTTCGAAGTTCGGCAATTTTTCACGTAATATAGATTTAACACTTAAACTCATTTAAAACTTAATAATAATTTTCATCAAAATTTAAAACAAATTTAACACTTAAACTTTAAGAAAATAATGTTTTAAACCTAAACCATGTTAATTTCACTAATTTTTAATATTAGTTCAAGTGTTAAATTTTAAAAACGTCGAAAACTAACCGCGCTTAGGCACCTTGTCCTTAGTTGGTCTGTATGCTTTGGTGTTCGAAGTTCGGCAAATTTTCACGTAATATAGATTTAACACTTAAACTCATTTTTAAAAATTAATAATAATTTTTACTAAAAAATTTTAAAAAATTAACACTTAAACTTTAAGAAAATTAGTTCAAGTGTTATCACTAAAACTAAAACTTAATAATGTATCGTAACTTTAATCCTTATTGTCACATGATATCACGTTGTTTATTTAAAACATACAAAAATCAACATCAATTTATTTATGTTTTTTGTCAACATTTTTCTTCAAATAGTAAAATTTTAGAGTTCATCTTGCAAATTATCTCTATATGTATAATTGGTCGACTATATCAACAAGATATTATTTGATGAAGAAGTCACTAGCGTGGGACGGTTTTCAACTACTTCACCCATTAAGGAATGGTTCGACTTATATTTAAAAAGTTAAAATAAAATTTAAATTATATGATAGCGAGTTATTTTTTTTTGATAAACCTTATATGATAACGAGTTATTAACATCCAAATTGTATCATCTAACTTAGTTTATTTTAGAACATGATTATCAATGGTGTCTTAAAAATGGCTCTTAAAAATGGTTCTTAAGTGTGTATTTGTTTTTTAGGTAAGCAACTCACCTTAACTTTAAAATTTAATTGGGAATTAATTTTAATCATTTAATTGCTAAGATCATTTTAAGAAAATCTTAAGATCCTCTTGTTAATCATGGTCTTAGACTTTATATAAAGGATCATAATCTTATAGCCTTGTCTCGTCACGTCATTCATCTTAAACCTGCCTTCTTTCTAAAACACCAAAAATTATTATCTTGTAAAGTATGTATATGACTAGTCGGTAATACGACGTCGACTGTCGACATTTATGTAATCTCATCGATGGAGACAAAGCATCAAATTAGTAGTTTTTTCCCAAGTCATATTGTATATTAATAAATAAAAAAATCATGTTTTGTTTAGTTACGTAACACCATTGCATAACGACAACAAACAAAAAGTTAATAATAGCTAACCAAACCAATCAAAAGTTAAATTAAAGAGATATAGTTTTATGTGTCATAATGCTCTTAACCTGTTAAATTCTCGAATAAGAAATTCCTTTGCAGTTTCCTACTATTAAAAGAGTATGAATAATCGCAGTTGATATATATAAAAACAATTTAGGGCATTTCTCAACAATTTACTATAACGTTTTTTAATTAGAACTTTTAAGAAAGAAAAAAAAACAAGATAATCCGAGAAAAAATACAAAAGACATAATGACATTTTCCACAAAAAGTTAAAAAATCTCATTCCTTTATAAATATAACGATCCATTAGAGTCGCAAAACGAAGAAGAAAGAAACAATGGAGTCTCCCAAATCTAACATGGACGATGGCTACCAAAACATTTTCGTCATGCGTCACGGTGATCGAATCGACAATTTCGAGCCACTCTGGGTTTCAACCGCCGAGAGACCTTGGGATCCACCTCTCGTTCAAGACGGTATGATTCGAGCGTTTCGTACCGGTCAAAGGATCCGATCTCAGATCGGGTTTCCGATTCACCGTGTCTTCGTCTCCCCTTTCCTCCGATGTCTCCAGACAGCTTCCGAAGTCGTCGCAGCTCTCTCCGCCGTCAATGTCGATCCCAACGCTATGTCTTCCAAAGACGTCCCTTCCATTGATAAATCTAAGCTCAAGGTCTGATCATATCTCAAACTCAGATTCAACAGAAAATCGCCTTTTTTGTTGAAAGATTTCAAATTTTTAGTCTAGGAAGTTGAATGGAATTATGAAATCAGCTGAATGTTTTGCTCCTTGTCAGGTTTCTATTGAATTAGGTTTGTGTGAGATGCTGAACTCAGTGGCTATAAGGCGTGAGCTTGCTCCTAAAGATGGGAAATTTGACTTCACTATTTCAGATATTGAAACTATGTTTCCTGAGGGAATGGTGGATCATAATGTCGATATGGTTTATAAAGAGGTGTGCTTTTACTCTCTAGAGGACCTTTTCAAGTTTTGATTTTTTCCCTTACTTCGATAGATAACTTGATCCTTGATTGCTTCTGTTCAGTTGCCAAAATGGGAAGAGTCTGTCGAAGGTTGCAGAGATCGATATGTGAAAGTTGTAAAGGCTCTTGCTGATAAGTATCCTTCAGAGAACTTGCTCTTAGTCACCCACGGTACGCAAGTTTCTTAATTTTAGTTTCCTCATCATTTGTTTTGACTTGTGTGTATCTGTAAAATGCAAATTTGTATGAATCTTGTATACCCTCATACATTCGTCCTGATAGACTCCAAATTTTCTTAGCTCAATCAGATGCAAACCAATTCCCTTCTTTATAATGAACTATCCTATCCGTCTCTGATGAACAATGCTCGGTTTCGATATTGAAACCTTCTAAACCTTATTGATGAAATTTCAGGGGAAGGAGTTGGAACTACATTTTCGACATTCTATAAAGATACAACAGTGTACGAAGTAGACTACTGTGCTTATGTTGAAATGAGAAGAGAAGTCTCAAGTAAAGATGGGTCTGTTAAAGCTGGGGACTATGAGGTGGTTTTGAGTCATGGTCAAGCTGGAATCAGGTTTAGTCATGATCCTGTCAGTTATGAACCTGTCATAAGCCAATCACCGGTTTAGTCAATTGTCTTCAGTGTCCTCTGTTTCTGTACTTTTGAATGTATTTGAACTGCTTTTGTATGAATTATGAAACATTGTTTCAAAGTTTTCATTCAATCGAATAAGAGTTATATAGTTCTACCAAAGAAAACAACAACACAACTTCCTTTCACATAATAACAAGGGAACAAGAATTGTCATTACATAAGAATGTAGTTAGATTGTTGTTTGAAACATCTAGAAACAATTAACACACAGAGGAAACCATCTACAAACAAGATCAACAATCTAAGGACTTCGGATTGGATCAACTTGATCAAACATGTCAGCCGGGAAATCATCTAAGAATACATCAGGTTCTTCATCCTTTGAAACATGTCTGCATCTTCTTGGCGCTGGCGATGGCTCGAAAAACGGCTGAGGAAGAGCGAACAATGGCTCAGAAGAATCAGCTGGTCCAAGTATGTCATAGTAAAAAGGGTCGTCGAGTCTAGCCAAAAGCTCTCTGCTTTCTGGAGAGAAAGGGATAATTCCTTGCTGATTTGCATCATTCGGTGAGTCAGAGAACTCTGTTAGAACAAGATCAGTGCCAAAAGCGAAAGGCTGATGCTCTAACTTAACACCCAAATCCGGCAACCTCAAGGTTTCATCATCAAATTGATCAGATGAATTAGGAACCATCTGGGAACATGAAGAAGCAACTGTAACCTCTTCCTCAACCAAACCAAAGCCCTGAAACACAAAATTGAAAATCAAAAACCATAGAAAACAGAGTTTTTTCAAAAAAACTTGAGGAATTTCGTCATCATCATTACCTGAGAGGCGTTGAAGGATTGACGGATTGGTTTGACGTTTTTACCCTTGACTCGATGAGAAGAAGAAGATTTGGGATTGAAACTCGAACTCGATGCATCAGAGGAGTTATGAAGAATCCTAGCGAGTCTCTTTTGTCTGCTACTCCAAAAGTTCTTCACATCGTTATCAGTTCTTCCCGGTAAATACGTAGCGATTCTCGCCCATTTGTTACCAAATTCAGATTGTAACTCAATCACAGTCCTCTCTTCGTCAGCCGAGAACTTGCATCCACTAAAAACAAACAAAAAACCCTAAATATCTGAAGCAAACAAAACCAAAATTGAATTTGCAGAGAGAACAAAAAAGGAGAAAAATGTATACTTTTTGAGATTGGGACGGAGTTTATTGACCCAACGGAGACGACAAGATTTGCCAGTGCGTTGAAGAAGACCTTTGGATCGAATGGAGCTCCAGTCACGAGGACCGTATCTCTTAACATGGTTGATTAATACTTCGTCTTCTTCGGCTTTCCATGGCCCTTTCTTTATCTCTTCCTTCTTCGTTTCCAATTTCCTCATCTCTCTCACTTTCGATTTGTGTTTATTTTTTTCTTCTCTGTGTGTGCGGAAGTTTCTTTGGGTTTTGTAGTGACGGTTGGATGCGGTTAACACCCACATTACCATTACCCTCCACTTTCAGTACCCCACCCCCCAAGTTTCTCTCACATTTCGAATTTGAGGTTATTACCAAAATGCCCTCGTGATTTTTACTCGATTTACTAGCCCAATACTAAGCCCAAATCAAGTGAGCCCGTGTAAGGCCTTCTATTTTACATGCATATAATATGGTGAAGGATCTTCAAAAAGCCTTGAAAGTTGAAACTATAAGATACCGTATTTTACAGCAATTGTAAAAAGAATCAATTAATTATTACAGGACAGCTGTCCAAACAAAGGCCAGACAAATTCAGTAATAATCAGGTTAGTGTGACTTTGCACATTGAATTTTTAAAATATGTGAATTTTTGGTAAACCACTAAATGACTTTACTTATTCTCCTCTCTCAAAGACGGTTGACTCAAATCAATGTGCAGATGCTCTCGCTAAGTCAATCTCTTCTCAACCTTTTGTACATTGTACTCCTTGTTTGAAAAATCGCTAGGCGCTAGTCGGGCGCTCGGTATGGGCCTAGCGATTAATCGGAAAATCGGATTAAAATCAGGGATTAACCGGGGATTAGTTTTGGGGTTATTTTAATATTTTTAAAATATATTAATCCAATATTGTAAAAATTTATGATTTTTATTACAAATTTATGATTTTTATTACAAATTTATGATTTTTATTAAAATTTGAATACAAGTTATTGTAAAACATCACAAACTCCCTATTCAAATGATTGAATAACATAAATGAAAGGTTTTTTTATACTTGCAATCTAAAAAATAATCGGGGTATATAAGATTAGGTGGAAAATAATCGGATTAGGCGGAAAGTAATCGGATTAGACGGAGAATAATCAGGTTACTGATTTTTTAGGGGATTAGTCATTAATCGAGGCGGATAGGGTGGGCCTAGCGATTAAGCGGGGAGTAATCGGGGCTAGGCGGGGATTTTTAGAACAGGGATTGTACTATGCTATCTTTAGATTGTAGTATATCCCTCCTTGTATAATTCCAATGGTGGAAAGGGAGAAAACTCAAATGTTTAAGGACTTTTCTATGAACAAGTGAGTAAGTGACTTTTATTTGAATGTTCAGTTCAATCATCCCTAACAAAATCTTTTTGCAATTGCATGGATATGATTTTCTTAAGCTAATTCACAAAGATAATCGAAATAAACACATTTGAACATAGAATAAGTATCCACTATTGTTCCACTCATTGTAAAAAATCTATAATAAAAAACAAAATGAAAAAACACAACAATGTAATAAATCTTCGAAAAAAAATTAATTCTCGATCGACATAGGGCTCCGAATCCACAAACCTATATTAATAGAAAATTTACACAGTATATATCAAAGTTCATATAATGTGATATAGATATATTGTTACATGTGCTATACTGCTATTTATTACTAGTTACTACATATGTGAACAAGTGACTTTCATGTACATGGTCGTTGGGGAAACTTCCTCCTCATTAGTATACTACCAAGAGGAAAACTTCGAACATTAAGTTCTGTCGTCTTTCTTCTTCCTCTTTCTTCACATTATATTTACTCTCATTTGCTCTCTAAAAAATTTCACTTTATATCTCTTTATTACAAGACAACAAACTTCAGGAACAATGAACCGAAGGTTGAATCATGAACCGGACACGGTCCTTGAGTTAAACGAATCGACTCCTGGGATGTGGTGGTTTCCTACAAATCCTGAGCATCGTTGCATCTACCGAGTCCCTCATCGTCTACGTCGTGTAAATCCAGAAGCATACACGCCTCAATTACTTCTCATTGGACCTCTTCACCATTCTTTAAAATGTCAAGCTCTCAAGTCTCGTGGAGATATCACAAACACAAAGTTAATGGGCTACTTAAACATGGAGGAGCATAAAAAGATTTACCTCGCGAGATTCTCGGAAAAGCTTGGAGGGAAAAAAACCATTGATGAATTCAGAAGAATAATCAAAGAAGACGAAGATATAATCAGGGCATGCTACTCTGAATCAACTGCCTGGATCGAATCTTCAAAGTTCGTGGATATGATCCTACATGACTCTGTTTTCATAATAGAGTTCATGTTAAGGAGTAAAGAGTACATCTTACTTGAGGACCAAGGATCAGACATCAAGAAAACATGGGATCCTATATTTGAGCAGCCTTGTCTTCAAACCACTGTGGATGAAGACCTCATTTTGCTCGAGAATCAACTTCCTTACTTCATCCTCGAGAAACTCTTCGATCCAATAGTTCCAATACTCCGTCCAGACCAGACACTCCGCAAGTTAATCATCACTTACTTCAGATTCCAAGGTAATATCAGAGATGACTCCAGATTCAAACATTTCACTGATCTATTCCGATGTGTCCGCGTGGAGACACTTAGGCCAAAGAAACCAAAGAATAAATTCAGATATTTAGCTGGTCTGTTCCGATTTTTTCGCTTGGGAACACAGGGGTCATCAGGAGAATTAGAAAAGAGTCGTCCTCAAGAACATAAAGCTCTTCCCATGGAGAAGACACATGGGTCAGGAGAACCAACAAAGAGCAAATTCAGATACATAGCTGATCTTTTCCGATGTGTTCCCTGTTGGTGTAAGTTTGAAAAGAAGACTATGAAGATTAAAGGCTTGAGGCCCAAGACATTATGAAACAAGTCGGTTTCATAAGAAGATTCTAGAGATAGTTTTAAGACCTAATCCTAATGTGTTTAAAGTCGGTTTAAAGACTCTATATATAGAGGTACCAAGGTGTGGTAACCCTATGAGTTTTTAGAGAGTTTAGAGATTGTGTAAGCTTAGGGTTTTTGAGTTAGTTTTCCTTGAGCAATAAAGAAAAGTGTTCTTTAGATTACATAGTCCCTTTCTTATATCATAGTGTTTGATTCAATAATTGGTATCAGAGCGTGATTGAATCATACTACTTAGGTATACGATACGAAATCGGAACTACAAACGTGTGTGTGATACAAGAATACGTGTTCTTGTACAAAACCTAAAACATGGGAGATATAGTCCCTGTGAAACCTAAAGAGATCAATTCTTCCTCTATACAATGGCCGATGCTCACTGCTACGAATTATACAGTGTGGACTATGAGGATGAAACCGATGCTTAGAGTAAACAAAGCATGGGAAGCTATCGACCCCGGATCAACTGATGGAGACTTGAATGACTTAGCAAAAGCTCTTCTCTTCCAATTAATACCAGAATCACTAATTCTGCAGGTTGGAGAATACGAAACTGCAAAACAAGTATGGGATGCCATAAAAACAAGAAATCTAGGTGCAGATAGAGTTAAAGAAGCTCGACTTCAAACTCTAATGTCTGATTTTGATCGTCTTAAGATGAAAGAAACAGAGAGTATTGATGAGTTTGCAGGGAAACTCTCAGAAATATCCACCAAAGCTGCAGCTTTAGGAGAGAAAATTAACGAAACAAAGTTGGTCAAGAAGTTTCTTGGATCTGTACCAAGAAAGAAATACATTCATATTGTAGCCTCACTTGAACAAGTTCTTGATCTCAAGAAAACAGGTTTTGAAGACATAGTAGGGAGACTTAAAATCTATGAAGAAAGAGTTCTTGATGAAGAAGAAGAACCAACAGCTGATCAGGGAAAACTCATGTATGCAAATTATGAGTCACAGTCATACCAAGGTAGCTATGGAGGTGGAAGAGGCAGAGGAGGACGATATCCTCAAGGAGGAAGAGGACGAGGTAGGTTTAATAATCAACAAAACGGAAGGCAAGAAAGGGACAAATCTAAAGTAGTTTGCTATAGATGTGACAAGCTGGGTCACTTTGCTTCTAATTGCCCGGATAGATTGCTTAAGCTTCAGGAAGCACAAGAAAACAAAGATGATGAAACACATGAGGCAGAGGAGTTGATGGTACATGAGGTGGTCTACTTAAATGAGAAGAATTTCAAGCCAAGAAACTTTGAAACTCAAGAAGATGGAAAGAATGTTTGGTATTTGGATAATGGTGCAAGCAACCATATGTCAGGAAACAGAGAATTCTTTTCAAAACTTGATGAAACAGTCACTGGAAAGGTGAGATTTGGAGATGATTCAAAGATAGACATAAAGGGAAAAGGATCAGTCTGGTTTGTTAGCAAGAACAATGACAAGAAAATACTTGCAGATGTATACTTTATACCGGATTTAAAAAGCAATATCATCAGTTTGGGTCAAGCAACTGAATCAGGATGTGATGTTAGGATGAAAGAGGATTATCTTACTGTTCATGATAAAGAAGGAAAGCTTCTGGTAAAAGCTAAAAGATCAAAGAACAGACTTTACAAAGTCTTCATGGAATCTGAGTCTGAAAGATGCCTGCAAGTAAAAGAACTGAGTGAGTCAGCCAAATGGCATGCAAGATTAGGACATATCGGATTAGAAACAATGAAGACAATGATAAAGAAAGATTTGGTTACAGGTTTGCCAATTATTCAAACAGAAAAGGAGACCTGTGTCTCATGTCTACTTGGGAAACAATCTAGGAAAGTATTTCCTCAGGCGACTTCATACAGAGCAGGAACAAAGTTAGAACTTGTGCATGGAGATCTTTGTGGACCCATTACACCATCAACATTGGCCCGGAATAGATATGTCTTCGTACTGATTGATGATCATTCTCGATATATGTGGTCTATACTCTTGAAATAAAAAAGTGAAGCATTTGAGAAATTTAAAAAATTCAAAAGATTAGTTGAGCAAGAAACTGGTGCTACTATTAAAACATTCAGAACAGATAGGGGTGGTGAGTTTATATCTCAAGAATTTCAAGCTTACTGTGAAAATGCTGGGATACAGAGACATCTTACTGCACCATACACCCCACAGCAGAATGGAGTCGTAGAAAGACGTAATCGAACTCTTTTAGAAATGACAAGAAGCATTCTTAAGCATATGAATATGCCAAACTACTTATGGGGAGAGGCAGTGAGACATGCCACGTATTTGATAAATCGGGTTGGAACTAGAACATTGATTGCAAAGACACCATATGAAGCTTTCAAGGGAAGAAAACCAAATGTGGAACACTTACGCGTATTTGGCTGCACAGGATATGCAAAAACAGAAGCTCAAAACCTAAGAAAACTTGATGATCGTTCAAAACCATTAGTGCACTTGGGTACGGAACCAGGCACAAAGGCTTATAGGATGCTGGATCCAACTACTCGGAGAATAACAGTGAGTAGGGATGTCATTTTTGACGAAACAAAAGGCTGGAAATGGAGCCATCTGGGAAAAGATACAGGAGAGGAACTTGGAACGTTTAAACTGAGTGTGAATGTTGGAGTTTTTGGAAATAATGGTCTTAGAGAAGCTCAAAATACTCAAACTCAAACCACAAATGAGACTAATGAAGTTGAAACTGTTGATGAAGAAAACAGTGAAACAGAGGAAACAGAGGAAAGAGATGAGTTTTGTGAGGAAGAAACAGAGGATACTGAGATCCATGAACAGAACCCAGAGCAAATACAATCACCGCCTGCCAGAAGAACCTCACAAAGACAAGTTACAAGACCAGAGTACTTAAAGGATTATGTACTGTTGGCTGAGTTTGAAAGTGAACGCCTCTTGTTGGCTTTGGATGAAGAACCATGGGATTATGAGGAAGCAAAAGAAATGGTAGAATGGAGAGAAGCCTGCAAAGATGAGATCTCATCAATTACTAAAAATAACACATGGAACTTAGTTGATCTTCCTAGTGGAGCTAAACCTATAGGACTGAAGTGGGTGTTTAAAATCAAGAAAAATTCAGATGGTTCTATAAACAAATATAAAGCAAGATTAGTTGCTAAAGGGTATGTGCAAAAACATGGGATTGACTTTGATGAAGTATTTGCTCCGGTAGCAAGAATTGAGACTATTAGGTTCATACTTGCTTTAGCAGCATCAAACGGCTGGGAAGTACATCATCTAGACGTAAAAACAGCGTTCTTACATGGAGAGCTAAAGGAGACTGTGTTTGTCTCATAACCAGAAGGGTTTATAGAAGAAGAAAAGAAAGATAAAGTATACAAACTTAACAAAGCACTCTATGGGCTTAGACAAGCACCAAGAGCATGGAATAATAAACTAAACCAGATTCTTCAAGGTTTAGGCTTCGTAAAATGCTCTAAAGAACCCTCCTTATACAGGAAAAGAAAGGATGAATGTCTTCTAGTTGTGGCAGTGTATGTTGATGATTTGCTAGTTACAGGCTCTAACTCAGAACAAATTTATGAATTCAAGAAAGGAATGTCTGCAACGTTTGAGATGAGTGATTTAGGCCTGTTGACCTATTATCTTGGTATAGAGGTAGTTCAACATGAAAAGGGCATTACTATGAAACAGGGAAGGTATGCAGAGAAAATACTAGAGGAAGTAAAAATGAGTGAATGTAATGCAGTTCACATACCAATGAATGCTGGCTTGAAGTTGTCAAAAGCAGAGGAAGAGAAGAGTGTGGATGAGAAAGAATTTAGAAGGATCATTGGATGTCTCAGGTATTTACTTCATACAAGACCTGACCTCTCTTTCAGTGTTGGTGTGTTAAGTAGATATCTATAAGATCCAAAAGAATCCCATAAAGTTGCCTTGAAACAAGTACTTAGGTACTTAAAAGGCACTCTGAACTATGGTCTCTCATTTACTCGGGGAACTCAACAAGGTCTGGTAGGTTATAGTGACAGTAGTCACAATGTAGATGAGGATGATGGTAAGAGTACAACAGGGCACATATTCTACCTTGGAGATTGCCCAATTACTTGGTGTACTAAGAAACAAGACACAGTGGCATTGTCGTCTTGTGAGGCTGAGTTTATGGCTGCTACTGAGGCTGCCAAACAAGCCATTTGGCTTCAAGATCTTTTGGAAGAAGTAACCGGAGAAAGGTGTGAGAAGGTAATGCTTCGAATTGACAATAAATCCGCAATTGCCTTGGCCAAGAACCCAGTGTTCCATGGAAGAAGTAAACACATACACAAGAGATATCACTTTATACGTGAATGTGTAGAAAATGAGTTAGTCGATGTGAAACATGTGCCGGGAGAAGAACAAAAGGCTGATATCTTAACCAAGGCTCTTGGACGGATTAAATACAAGGAAATGAGAGAGCTTGTAGGGATTGGAGATGTGACAAAAGGTGATTTCAAACTTAAGGGAGTGAATGTTGGTGTAAGTTTGAAAAGAAGACTATGAAGATTAAAGGCTTGAGGCCCAAGACATTATGAAACAAGTCGGTTTCATAAGAAGATTCTAGAGATAGTTTTAAGACCTAATCCTAATGTGTTTAAAGTCGGTTTAAAGACTCTATATATAGAGGTACCAAGGTGTGGTAACCCTATGAGTTTTTAGAGAGTTTAGAGATTGTGTAAGCTTAGGGTTTTTGAGTTAGTTTTCCTTGAGCAATAAAGAAAAGTGTTCTTTAGATTACATAGTCCTGTTCTTATATCATAGTGTTTGATTCAATATTCCCATGGAGACACAAGGGTCAAAAAGAGAAACAGAAAAGAGTCGTAGTCTTGAACGGCTCAAAACTCATCGCATGAAGGAGACGTCACATGGTCATGGGTCAAAAAAACCAAAAGATCGCCCGATCATCAAACACATGTATAACGCGGCAAAACTATACAGTGCAGGAGTGAAGTTCAAGGCTGTGACAGATGAGTTCTCGATAGATGTGAAATTCGAGAATGGTTGTTTGAAGATACCTTGTTTGTGGGTTCCTGATGATGCGGAGATCACATTAAGAAATATAATGGCGCTAGAGCAATGCCATTACCCTTTCAAAGCCTACGTCTGTAACTTCGTCAGTTTCTTGGATTTCCTCATTGACACTGATAAAGACGTCGACTTGCTCATGGAGAACGGTACCCTTTACGTATACATATATTGATTGTGTGTGTTAAACATCCATAAACTATAGCGATTATATCATACACTGAAATTATGCAGTTTATTTATCCATTTTCGTGTTATTTTTAGTTGTTAGTTATATATGTCGTTTGGTTAAATTTTCAAGATTTGACGTTTTAAATTTATATTGATGCAAAAAATTATCAATACTTTAGACGAATTTCATATTTGAGTTTGATTAGATAGATATTTCCAACATTTATTCTTAAAATAAAGATATTATGTATTCGAAATATTATTTGTAAATCATGTTTTTGACCATGTTATATATGTCATGTATATTGTTTTATCATACAAATATTTAAACCATATAAAACCTTGTAATGTCGAACAAGTACTGCTGTGTTCGCTAGGTTATACTGCTTGCTTAACTTTTCTTGAATAATCAAAACTAATTAATATGGCAGGGTATGGTTTTGAAAGGGATACTAAACAACTGGGGGAGAAGAGTTCGGTGGCGGTGGCGGAGATGGTGAACACGCTCTTTTCGGGCGTCGTCGAGAGTCGTTCTTACTATGCTGGTATAGCGTCAAGAGTCAACGCCTATTATGAAAATCCAGTCAACAGGACACGCACCATCCTGGGACGCCAGTATTTCGGTAATCTATGGAGAGGTACGGCTACTATCGCTGCTGGGCTTCTTTTGCTGATGACTTTTGTCCAGACGGTGGCTTCGATTATTCAGGTTTGGTAAAATTGACCGTTCTTCTGTTGGACGACGTCGTTTCACTCTCTCCGGTTCGTCTCTTGTGTTTAATAAATTACTCGTATCTACGATACAATTCACTCTCTCGTCGTTGTGTTTAATACATTAGTCATATCTTCCCCCAAAAAGGATCTTGTGTTTTAAGTCTATCTTCTATTGTATCTCATAATAATAAACAAAGACTTAATGGTCGTCAATGATACTTTATTATGAAGTCTATAATTTTATTCCTAGTCATAATGTATCCACTAACCAGAAGCTCTTTTGCTGAAGACTCGCTAAATAATTAGGGCTTTTGAATTTGAAGAATCCTTCTCCAAATCTTTTTTTGTGTGTAAATTTATACATAAAATTTGCACCAGTTTTTTTCCATCTCACCTAAAAACATTTTTTACGTGTCATATTCGATTTTATATTTTTAAGAGATAAGAAAGCACTAGACGAAAAAAGTATCGTCTCACTAAGTTTTTTTTTTTTTTTTTGTTAATTCTTGTCTCATTAAGTTGCGATGAACTTTAAGTCTTTAACAAAGGAAAAAATAAGTTGCCATGAACACAACAAAGAATAGTGCAAATAAATTATGAATAATATAATAATGTTTGAACATCACTGAATTTCTTACGATTGATACCAGGCGTGAAACGTGGGGTTTGAATTGTTGCATCTGAGACCTTCTTCGTTAGGGTAATGAATCAATTATTTTGATCTATTTAGTTTAAGCACTTATGGTAATGGCCTATATAATTAGCATGTTACTTATGGTAATGGCCTATATAATTAGCATGTTCGGAACACACACTAGAATCGGACAAAACAGCTGTAATTTTGAAACGTTAGACCTCTAATCTAGCTAGTACACTACTACTAAATATAAGACATCATTTCCTTGATTTTGTTGTGTATACAGAGAAGGCTCGTCCATCAGATCAGAGGACCCCTTATTTTTCTTTGGTCGTTACAAATAATATTCAATCCACGTCATACATAATTTAATGATTTCCTACTTATTACGGATACGGGATCTTCCAAAAATCTTGAACGCCCTATCAGGTTCAGGCACATACCAAATTTTGCGTCAATACCTAACGTGGAAAACGTGGATTTTTAGAAATCAATTACTATAGGACAGCTGGCCAGACAAAGTTCCGACAAACTCGGTGATAATTAGGATACTGACTTTTCTGATCTAACAATCATTTGAAATACATCTTTCACTAGGATAATTATTTGAAACTCGGTGATAAATAGGATACTAGCAAGCCCGTGAGAGTGTCAAGTTAAATGAATAAGATTCTTATTCATCTTTCACTAAGAGGGATATTCATCTTCTACCTCCTCTTTCTTCTCCAATGGCTTTCTTAAAACTTCCTCTTTTGAGAGAGCCTTTAGGTTCTGAAGACAAGATTGGATGCGACGACCCGGAAATAATTGACGGAATGTTGGATCTTGAATTGGGCACGACCCAGAAGTTGAACAAACAGGCTCCTGGGATGTGGCTCTTTCCGAAAAATCAGAAGCATTGTTGCATCTATAGAGTGCCTAACAGTATACGTAGAGTAAAACCAGAAGCATATACTCCTCAATTACTGATTCTTGGTCCTCTCCACCATTCTTCAAAATCTCAAGCTCTCAAGTCTCTTGGAGATATTACAGACACAAAGTCAATGGGCTACTTAAACATGGAGGAGCATAAGAAGATTTACCTTGCCGAATTCGCACGAAGAGTTGAAGGGGAAAAGACCATCGATGGATTCAGAAGAATAATCGAAGAAGATGAAGAGATGATCAGGGCAAGCTACTCAGAATCAACGGCCTGGATTGAATCTGCAATATTTGTGGACATGATCCTACATGACTCTGTTTTTGTACTAGAGTTTATTTTGAGGAGTTCCTACGAAGGTTGGGAGAAGACAGGGGGATCCTCTCATGGACGAGCCTTGTCTTGAAAACACAGTCAAAGAAGATCTCATCTTGCTCGAGAACCAACTTCCTTACTTCATTCTCGAGAAACTCTTCGATCCAATAGTCCCTACACTCACCCCTCACCAAACATTCCGTGAATTAGTCATCACACACTTTGATTGTCAAGGTAAAATCGGAGACAACTCAAAGTTCAGACATTTCACTGATCTGGTTAGGCTTGTCCGTGTGGAGACACTACCACGGCTTGCTCGAGGGAAATACAATCCCATTGAACATATGTATAACGCGGATAAGCTAGATAGGGGAGGAGTCGAATTTGAGGCGGTAGATGAAGAGTTCTCGCTGTCCGTTAGATTCGAGAAGGGTTGTTTAAAGATGCATTGTCTTAGGGTTGATGACGAAGTAGAGATGAAACTCAGAAACGTAATGGCTCTTGAGCAATGTCATTACCCTTTCAACGCCCATGTATGTAACTATGTTATCTTCTTGGATTACCTCATTGACACTCATAAAGATGTTGACTTGCTTGTCGAGAAAGGTAACCCTTTTATCCTTTTATCCTTTATATATGTGTGTGCCTGTGTATTGATTTGTGGATGGTGGTGGTTTTGGTTTTGTAAGGGATAATAAAGAATTGGATCGGGCAACACGGTTTGGTGGCAGAGATGGTGAACAAGCTCTGTTTGGGCATCCTGGAGGTTGGTTCTTACTATTCTGACATAGCAGTTGAAGTCAACAGGCACTATTCAAATCCAGTTAATAGATCTTGCGCCGTACTCAAACGAGTGTACTTCGGTGACATGTGGACAGGGACGGCCTCTGTCACCGCAACACTTCTATTGTTGATGACTCTCACCCAGACGGTGACTTCAATCATTCAGGTTTTGCAGAAGTGAGAATGTTTTCTTGAGGACGTAGCTGCATTTCTCTCCATATCGTTTCTGGTTTAGAACTTAATCGTTCTTCAAATGATGTAGTAGGTAGTACTTGTAAATAGTCTTTGCAGATTAAAAACTAGTCTAATGTCTTGTAAGATAACCCAAAATCAAATTTTGATTAAAAATAACTATGATTTGTGAAGTTGTAGATTGAATTCTGATATGCAGAAGCTCTTTCCACATTAGACTTGTTTGTTGTATATATATGGTTTTATGGTAAATTTATTGTTCTCTGTAGAGATATTTTGAAAAGAGACAGAGGTTTACTGTTTTAAGGACTTTGATTTGAAAAAGGAAACTAAGACAGAGCACATAATCAATTAAACCCAAAAACCTTATGAAGTTTCAGACAAAGACCACCTAAATTTTGGTCGGTCTATCTATATAATTCCATGATCGTCTCATAGTGAAATCCAACGATAGAGCTTCAAGCACGATCTGTTCATGATAAATCATCCGTCTCTCTCTCTGCAAAAACAAAACAAAACCCTGTAAATTCTGTAAGAGATTGAATTGACCCCTAATTTTTTTTTGACGTACCAGTGATTTGCTTATCCGGTATTTGAGGAGTAACCCCCAAATTGGTTCTAATGTTGGCTCCAAGATCAATCGCATCTTGAACCTGATTCAATTTGGATCCGATCAATCTCTCTCTCTCTCTCTCACACACACACAATATAGAGATCAATGATTTCAATACAAGAATCTGACCGTGTGGATCCCTGTGGCGCGGACTATTGCGACGGAGCTGGTGGCTAACGAGCCGACGAAGAGTGATGCGACACCGAAGGCTTTGAGCGGCATTAAACGAACGTCGCCGGCGTAACCTCTCCTAATCAATCGCACTCCCCACATGATTTGGGCTCCACTTCCCAATGCCCACCACCAGTGATCTGATCCATCCAACAAACTGCTCTCTCCGGCACCGGTTCCGGCCTCGTTCCGTTCCTCCATTTTCGCCGTCTTTTCCCCGAGATGGTGGAATGGGTCAAATTTCCGATAGATAGCGAGATTCCTTTTTCGTTCACTATCGTTGCAGGTTTAATGGGCTTTGTTTTGGGCTTATGGCAGCCCATATGACAGGAATTTTGTTAAATTCAAGGCAAGGTGTTTTTAATTTTTATGTTAGTATTCTATTTCTCTAAACTCTTCTTACCGTTGCGCTTGCGCACATATAAAAAACATTGCTAGGTTAGAGACATCGCATTTGGGTAACGGTGTCACGAGTCACTTGCATTAATATAACATTAAACATTAGGTCGGGGCGTCGGGCCATGGAAAGATTTGGTATGGCCCAGAAAAATGCTTCATTCAACCATTACGGTCATGATTGTTTTTTTTTTTTTATAACCGTGAGATCCCAAAGACTTCCTAGGCCCAAAGACTAATCCACGAGGTCTTGTATCCGGGTACGCTTTATCCCATCGTTAAGGGAGCGGCTAGGTGGCCAACCCGAATCATGTTCAATGCACATCCTTATTGGCTATTGCTAATCTCTTGTCTTGGTTTCACTAATTAGTTTAATTACATTACAGTAATCCCTAACGTTGTAACACAATTACACAACCATTTTTTGTTCATCACAGATGTGGTTTTGCATTACAGCTGAATGAACAAATTAGCATATAAGTATGTTCCATGTAGAAAATTTACTTGTCCAGCTTATGTTAACAGTGTATTTATTTCTTCTGTCTATGTATAAAAAGTAACTAAGTTAACAATTCGGCTTTGCTAAAAAAAAAAAAAGAAAAAAAAAAGAGTAAAATTAACAATTCGGCTTTTAATCGCAATTCTTCTTGGTAATGACAATCGCGTTTTTCTTATTGTCTTCAATCGACAATCATAATCTTACTTTTCTTCAAAATGAATATTCACCATTGTTATCATCAATAGAGTTGACAATAATTGACAGTATTCAAGGTTTGTCAACAACAACAAAAAAGGCAAGATAAATGTGTATAAATGTGTTAATAATGGAGTACACTTCCAACCAAAATAGAAAATAGAAATAACAATGATAATGGAGTATGTACACTGTTCAATGATTTTGTAGGCAAAAGTTGGTTGATTTTAGTAATTCAAATTTCATCATTAATCAAATAAAAGTGCTTCTTAGTTATAATGGCGCCGAATCGAATAAAACATTCATTAAAAAAAAAAAAAACTTAATATAGATTTAATTAAAATATTCACTGTAATACATTGTTCTCAGTCAGTCAAAATTTACATATAGGACTAGCTATAGATCCAAGAGCGACGGGACCGCTTGATAACGTGATTCGCGTGGTTAAACAAAAATTACTGAGTTAGTACATTGTGTATTCTTATGTCCAAGTTAATTAGGAATTAGTACATTTGTCCATTGATTATAAAGTAAAGTGGGCCGACACAAAACTTTTATGTACTATAGAAATTTCTTTTTTTGCTACTTATTGATAATTATGACGTCACGCAATCTCGAGCAGAGTTGATGGATTATGAAGGTGCCAAGGTGGCGTACATATATAACAAGAGATGGTAAAACAAAAAAACAAAAAAAAAAAGAGATGGTCAAATAGCATTCTATTTCAAGGAATGCCATCTAAATTGTTATTCGATTTTTTATTTCTTTTCTCCTTTTTCTTTTTTGCGTATATAATTAAGAATATTATTTTACTAATATAAAATATAGAAACACGTTATTTTCATTTAATTTCACATGGGGGTAAGTTACACTCGATTGACAACGGACCTACTATGTATAACGAAATTATTATAGTCATTTTTTCTTTCTATATAGTATTACTCTCTAATGGTTCCTTTCTCTTTAGAACAAAATAATTTGCAAGAATATTTATAGCAGCCCACTTCAGACCGCAGCCTATAGCTTTAGCACTCTCTCTCTAAAATGGGAAAACAAATCAACATAGAGAGTAGTGCTACTCATCATCAAGACAATAATGTTTCCGTTATAACAGCCTCGACCGTCGCCGCCACGATTTCCTCCTCCGTGGTAACGTCTTCGTCAGAGTCTTGGTCTACATCCAAAAGGTCGTTAGTGCAAGACAATGGCGTCGGAGGAAAACGGCGGAAGATCAGCAACGTCAGCGATGATAATAAGAATCCGACGTCGTATAGAGGAGTGAGGATGAGGAGTTGGGGGAAATGGGTGTCGGAGATTAGAGAGCCGAGGAAGAAATCAAGAATATGGCTTGGCACTTATCCAACGGCTGAGATGGCAGCTCGTGCTCATGATGTGGCGGCTTTAGCTATTAAAGGCAACTCCGGTTATCTCAATTTCCCTGAATTATCCGGTTTGCTTCCTCGTCCGGTTAGCTGCTCTCCTAAGGATATACAAGCTGCAGCTACCAAAGCCGCCGAAGCAACCACGTGGCAAAAACCGATTATCAATGAGAAATTAGCCGAACCGGAAGGTGATGAGCTAAGCCACTCTGAATTGTTGTCTACGGCTCAGTCTTCGACTTCGAGTTGTTTCGTGTTTTCTTCGGACACGTCGGAGACTTCTAGTACGGACAAGGAAAGCAACGAAGAGAAGGTGTTTGATTTACCGGACCTTTTCACGGACGGGCTGATGAACCAAAACGACGCGTTTTGCTTATGCAACGGCACTTTTACGTGGCAGCTTTACGGAGAGGATGTGGGATTAAGGTTTGAAGAGCCGTTTAACTGGCAAAATGACTAAACCACCCTCCACTTGCTTACTAACATAAGTATAGTTTTCTTATTAAAGAACATATATATAGTTCCAGTATGGTATTAACTAAACTTTTATATCCCTTTTTTTCTTTTCTGGTTTTCTACATTTCTTACTTTGTGAAAACATTGAGCTTCTTGTTTTGAATATTTACTGTGTTTCAAAATTGAAGTAAATGCAAGTAATAATAAGTGGAAAGTGACTAAAAAGTGGCAGTGGCAAAAACGTAATTCAAATGCAACGTACACAGAAAAATAGGCAACGTTTGTTGACAGTGACACTGTCTCGCACTTTTAAGCTGTTTTTGTATTCTCGTTGGCCCCTAGACGAATTTTGACTCGAAGAGACAAAGCCGCCACTTACGCTCACACATGTATCAGTATCTGAAACCACTTGATCTCTATTTTGCTGTCTGCATTGTAAATTAGTCTATATTATCGACATCTGTATATACTCAAGTTTCATTATTAATATTAAAAGGTAAGCAATTTTAGTATCTTTAATCTTTGACTAGCAATCACTGTTTTCTAATTCTGACTAGGCAAATTTGATTATGATTTAATTATGTTACGGATACTAGATAAAGGAATATCCAATAACAAAATCATGTTATGTTAGTCAAACGGATATTGTTAGATAGGCACATTCAATCTAAAGATTATAACGATAAAAATCGATTAGATGACCTTGATCCCAATATGATTCTCTTTCAAACGGTTTATAAACTGCTTAATACATGGCCTGTCTAAAGTAATCGAAATGAGATTAGCGCAGGCACCATATATGTCATATTTAGCGTGTGCGTCATTGATGAGACGATGATTGCAAAATTGAAAGTGAAGGAGACAAGCTTTTGATTAAATTATCGCTTTATTATATTTGGGGTGGGAATATAACATGACTCACATGTTCATCATTGTCTCTTTCTTTTTCTTTTAAAGTTACAATAAGTTAATAACCTTTCACTTTCTTTATTTTCATTTGTCCATTTCTTTAATTTGCTTAAAAGGTGAAAGGATATATGCTATAACAATAGGAATGCTTTTGCCCAACATCTTACTTTGTCCACTGTGTGAGGCATAACACGACTGTTATGGATTCCCAACACACATTCATTGGATCCATTAAGCATAGTAGTAATAATAAAACTGGATATTTCGAATAAAATAACAAAATTTTAACTAATTGCAAAATCAAACTTTTAAATCTAGTAAAAATCACCATTATTTATCTTATTTTAATTTTTTTTAATACAAACCATTAACGAAACATCTAGAAGAAAAAAAAAAGTCTGTAATATAGATATCTAAATTACATAAACTAAATATCATTCGAAGTTTCATGGGTATATAACTTTGATTTGAGAACGGAATTTTGACTCCGGAACAGGACAAATCTTGGTGAAAATCTTTAAATAAAGCAATTATAGGCATACATGTATATTCTTATGGTAGACTTATGAGTTTTTTTTTTTTCGTTAAGTAGAGTTATGAATTATTGAGGCCACTGATTAAAAAAACATATAAAGATAGTGGATGTGGTAGTGAGCTCACTATCACATCAGTTTACGTACATGTATATTAAACATGCCGAGCAATTAGTGTGTACTTATTCTATATCCTCATGATGTTAGGATTTGAATTGAATGTGTGTGTGTGAGAGCGTCCATAGAAATTAAAAGAAAAACAGGAAGACATAAAGAGTCTTTTTTTTTTGTTCATTGGTTTAGTGGTGGCATGAGTATCTTTTTATAGTATTATTGTTATTTAAGTAATTAATAAATTTTTATCCTTTTTTATAATGGGTTCCTAATATACTTAATTAGCTCCCACACTTACCTAATCTTTTGTATTCTTATCATTTTTTGGTTGTTATTGATACATTACAATATCCATATCCGTTTCCACACGAATATCTTTAGAGTTTGAACAACATTGTAAATTAAAGCTTACGAATTGCAAGGAGCTGAATTCTTCTTTTGACACCTTGCATTATGCACAGAACAGAAACTACTCCAAGTATAATTGTACTACATAATTAATTTATCAAAAAAATCATAATTAAAATAAAAGTAAATATATATTAATTATAACATGCGATCTTTATCTTTCGAATAAAGTGGGCAAAAACAAAAGAACAAAAAGAAAGAAAAATAAGCAAGCAGAAAGAAGAATAATGAAAGCAACAGCAGCAAAAGAAAATAATGTAGATTCATATTGTTCACTCTTAGTTAACATATTTTCTCACATCTCAATCAAAAATAAATTAAGCAAAAAAATGAAAATTGGAGAGCATGTGGGGAAAGCTGAAATTGTTATACTAAGCGAAACGCACAATTTAAAACCAATTGGGGATAATGAAAGAAAACCTTAACTAATTACATTCTAATAATAATAATCAATAAGTTAAGAGAGAGTTAATTATAATTTGACTTCGGCTACAGTCCATGTTGCTTGTTGAATATTCTTAGTCTACAATACATTTATCCGTAAGCAAACATTTGTGAGTCGAAGTTAATCTTTCCAAATTCAAACAAGAGCTGAAACAACCATTGATGAGATAATAAAAAGTGAAAAATCATTGTCGTTTTCTTTGAAGGTTATAACTTATAAATTAGCCCAAAAAACATAAAAATAGAAATAATAATAAAATGTCGGTAAGCCCGTGGGCTTTTTTATATCCATTATTTTGCACTGGAAATAGACGTTTTTGTTATAAACACTAAAACGACGTCGCTGATCAAAACGACGCCGGTCTTTGTTGGATCTGGAACGACGTCGTTCTAGTTATATTTCTCACCGTCTCGAATTTTTCACAAGTGGTTTTACCTGTTTCCTTCCAATACCAAGCTTACTCTGAATCGCCGCCGTGTTACATGTACTGTTGTTAAGGCCGAGAGATAGATAAAAAAAAATATTTGTCCGATTTCGCCGCCGCTCCCTATAATCTTTGTAGCTTCTTCTTATTTAGCCGGAGGTGAAAAGAAAGAAGAAAGTCCAAGTGTCTCTTGTCATCTCTTTGCTCCAATAGGTGCGTTTTTGGTTTAATTTACCGTGTTGATTCTAAGCCTAAGAGAAGGTTTCTAAGATTAGAGTGTTTAATTTGCTGTTTTTGCAAACGGGTTGCCCAAAGTTTTGATTTTTAGTTACTAGTCATAGCAGAATAATGGAGGGGAGATTGGCTAATATGTGGAGGTTGACTGTTAACGAAAGTAAATTCGTGGAAACTGCGTTGCAATCTGAGCTCAGAGTCGATGGTCGTGGCCTTTATGATTACCGCAAGCTTACTATTAAGTTTGGAAAGTAAGTGCTCACATTCCTTTTACTTACACGTTGTCTTCTGCTTCTTGATACCGTTTCCGCACTTAGTAGGATTTGTTGATTGCTGAGTTTTGTGATAACTTTGAATGTAGATAGCTTTGTTGATTCTATTACCTCTGTTAGAACGAATACTAGCATGCTTTTCTTTTAGTGTTTGTAATATTTGTAACTAAAGGCAGATTTTAATCTCGTTTGAGTTAACAGAGAATATGGTAGCTCGGAAGTTCAACTTGGTCAGACTCATGTAATGGGTTTTGTGACTGCTCAGATGGTACAACCTTACAAAGACAGACCTAATGAAGGTTCTCTATCTATCTTCACGGAGTTTTCTCCAATGGCTGATCCGTCTTTTGAGCCTGGTCGTCCTGGCGAATCTGCTGTGGAGTTGGGACGCATTATCGATCGTGGTCTAAGGTAAATGCCTCTTTTGGATCATCTGTGTTGATGCTGCAAAAAAAATGCTGGCTGGTCTGGTTGGAGTAATGCTAAGTTTCTCTTTGTGTTGGTTGCAGAGAAAGCCGTGCCGTAGATACCGAGTCACTCTGCATTCTAGCTGGAAAGATGGTTTGGTCTGTTCGCATTGATCTTCATATCTTGGACAACGGAGGGTAGGTTTTGTTGGCTACTGTATATCTCCTTGAAGGTTCTGGTTTAAAATAATCTTTTATGCGATTTTTTATTACTCACTCTTGTATAGGAACTTGGTTGATGCTGCAAATATTGCTGCTTTAGCAGCTCTCATGACGTTTAGGAGACCCGACTGCACTGTAGGAGGAGAGAACGGTCAAGAAGTGATCATACATCCACCAGAGGTTAGTCATATGTTTTCGGTTTAGAGAAACTTGTAAGAATTTGTTAAGTAAAGAAGACAGTTCTTAACTTCAACTGTTTGCTCTATCTTTACTTTCTTTTGCAGGAAAGGGAACCACTTCCATTGATAATACATCATCTCCCAATAGCCTTCACGTTTGGATTTTTTAATAAAGGCAACATTGTGGTAAAAACAGTTGTATTTTAGTGAGAATCTAGTTTGCTTTTACTTTTTCTTTTCTGAGATATAAAGTGTGATGTGTTGTTATATGCAGGTGATGGACCCAACTTATGTTGAAGAAGCAGTTATGTGTGGGAGAATGACTGTGACAGTTAATGCCAATGGCGATATATGCGCAATCCAAAAACCGGGGGAAGAAGGCGTGAACCAGAGTGTAATTCTTCATTGCCTGCGTCTTGCTTCTTCAAGAGCTGCTGCAACAACAAAGATCATTAGAGAAGAAGTAAGGTTTCTAAAATCCAAAGCATATTTCTTTTGAATCCAAAAATATTCAACAACTCACAGTTTGTTGTGCTTTGTTATTATGGTGTAGGTTGAAGCATATAACCGTGAGAGAAGCTTACAGAAGGTAAAGCGACATCCCACTTTGGCTAAATCTGAAGTTTCTGGACCTACTGTAGCTGTGAAGGAGGAATATAGGAAGTCCTCAGATCAGGAAAAAGCTGCAGAGATATCTCGGGAACATGTTGAAAGACTAAAGCTCTCTCCAGAGGAACTAAGAAGCAGTAAGGAACAAGAAGCTACCAATTTTAAAGGCGGTCCCTCAAATTGGTAAAGTCTTCAATGTTTCATTCTCTGGTTTGTGAAGGAACCTCCATGGCTCCTTGTGGTTCTTTTTTTTTTTCTCAAAATCTCTGTTGTGGAACAATTTTCAGGGACCCTTACTCAGAAGCTATGGATGTTGATTCACTGAAAGTTTCTCTTGCTTCAGAAGGTAAAGTATTGTTTTTTGCTTCTCACTCCCAATCTCGTGTCTCTTCGAGTAATGCTAAACTGATACTGTTCTGTTTTGTTTAATCAGGGGATTCCATTACTAAGTCATCGAGCAAGAAGAAAACGAATGGCTCTGGAAATGCGCAGAAGGATGGTGGTGAGATTTCAGTTGAGGAAGTAACCGGAGATTTAGGGAAGAAGGATACAAAACACAAGGATGGAGAGATGACACTGAAAGATGCTGTCAAACCTAAAAAGAAGCGGAAAAACAAAACCTGAGTTAAAGCATTTTCCCGATCACTCTTTTACTTTCTTCTTCCCTTGAAACTCAAGACTAGAGACGGTTTTAGGTCAATTGTATCTGAAAAGTCAAGAGTTTTGTTTCATAAGATGAGAGGACCATGATAACCCAGTAGATGAGATTTCAAGAGACTATATTAAAGTGACCATATTCTTGGGCCCATAAAGTAGAAAAATAGCTTCTTCTTCACTACTAAAATTACATGTGAACCGGTTCGGTTAAAGACCTAGCCACGAAATAAGGTGAGTGAAATGAAAGAAAATGGAGAAAAAAGCCGTTCGAAGGCAAGGACTCAAATCCGGTCACCAAATTTTGTCATTAGATTTTTTGATCAGAGTAAGTAAATTTTCCAATTTTGGTAAAATTAAAGATGGGCCTGCTAGAGGAGGAAGCAGGGCCTTATTAAGGCAGTAATTAAATGGTATCGTACTTGCACTGGTGGAAAAAGTAAATGGTAAAAAACCTGACTAACATTTATCTCAGGTGTTTTGTTTTAACTTGTAGTCTAGGTCATGTCTCTCCTCCGCCTCCGCGTCCGCTCCGCTCTCTCTCTGTCTTCTCCGATCTACCAGCTCCGCCGCCAAGTTTCATCTCTCCCCCTCCAAAACCATACTACTCCTAGCTCCGCCGCCACCTTCCCCTTCGCCATTCCGAGAGACCCTTCCTCACCTCCCCTGACGCTACCCACTGATCTCATATCCAAGTTCGATTACACCGCCTCCCATGTTTTGGCCAAAGTTGAGGCCTTGACCAATCTATCCAACCTCGACGCAGCCGCTGAATACGCGCGTCTCGCTGTCTTGTCCGTTCCCAAAAGCACTAAAAACCTGAAAACCAAAACCCAAATCGCCGAGACTTGCCGTCTTATCATCGGCGCAATGTGCAGGAAGAAACGATATGAGGAGGCATACGAGCTATTCCATTACTTCTTCAACGTTAACAATGTAGAACCAGACTGCGATTGCTGCAGTGACGTCGTCTTTGCTCTTAGCAGTCAAGGTCGTCTGGACGAGGCTATTCGATTTTACCGCCGCACAATCCGTTACGCTCATTTTATTCCAGATTACTACCCTTTGATGAACGCGTTGATTGATGCCGGAAGAGTCGACGAAGCTTACAGTCTCTTCTTTGGCGGGTCCACGTACCCTGTTTTTATTCGCGGTTTTTTGGCTCATGGGAACATGGACAAGGCAAATGAACTTTTCCAAGATCTGAAGCAGCATCGTGATGAGAGTTATTCAGACCATGATTTTGAGATGTCGCAAGTGGCATACATGGAGCACTGTTTTAAGCAAGGGAAAGATGAGGAAGCCATGGAATGGTACCGTTCTGTATTACTGTTTGAAGCAAGACAAGGATGATGAGCAAGGCACGGTAGCTAAGTGGAAACCCAAAATTGGGCATAAGCCTGCGGACACTGTTAACACAGTCTTGGAAGTTTTGCTCAAGTACGGTAAGAAGACGGAAGCTTGGTCGCTCTTCGAAAAGCTGTGTGGAATAGCGACATAGAAAAAAATGAAGCATACGAGTTGTCGGATCGAGAGACTCGTTGTATAATGATCCGCGAGTGTTTCAAAACGGGGGAGATTAGCAAAGCCATGGAGCTTGCCCGGAAGGCTGGGTGTTACACGACCCTAGTCGATAGATTGGTGATGTCTGAGGATGTATGACAGGGGATGATGTCTGAGGCAGAGGAGATGTTCAACGAAATCTTCTCATCCTCCGATAGAAGTCCCAGGTATTTTGATATATGGATACATCGAATGATGGTAGATGGTTTTGCTAAAGCAGGGAGATTCGATGATGCTCACCGATTTGTTAACAAGATTGCCGATATTTCTCTGGGTCACGTTTCAGGACGCGTTCACTGCTCATCAATAACTGGCCGAGATTTCCTTATCTAAGATACATTTATGTGTTTGATCTAAAAAAAGAGACATTTATGTATCATATTATTACTATCTACGTTGGAGACAGATTTGTACTTTATGAACTAATTGTTACATTTTTATAAGATTGAGGTATATGTGTGTGTACTGAGCGTTGCGATGACCAAATAAACAAACCAAGTCAAATCTCTAATAGTTAAAACATTTTATAACATTTGAAAGAAAAACACGAACGTTTTGATAATAAATGATAGTGGTAATGAATTCTACACAGGCCGAGTATCAAAGCCTTACCATAAGCATATCAGCAATATAAGAGGCAAGAGAAAGTGGCAACGCACTTTAGATTTGCTTCCACTGCTCGGTCCAACACTCGGAAGGCATCGTCAAATCTTGCAGCCTTACAATAAGCATCGATCATTGTTCGATACGAAGGAATGTTAGGGATTAGGTATTGCTTAGAGGACATCTCAGCAAAGTAAGTCTCTGCTTCTGGCAACATGCCCTGCTCACAGAATCTTGCGAGTATGTTGCCGTAACATAGTTGTGACTCATCATCCTCAACAGTCTTTACCTTGTCAAAGGTCTTGATTGCTTCACTAATCTTTCCCAACTTGAAACACTCGTTCACCATTATATTACAAGTCTCCGAATCGAAACCCGATGGCTGAGCATTGCGTCTCTCCAGCATTTGGTTGAACAATGTCCAAGCTTCGGTTTTCTTGCCGTACTTAAGGAAAAGTTGCAAAAGGGTATTGCCCGTTTTTGCGTTCATTCTGAAATTTTTGGGCGCCAGAGTCCTGTAACACTCAATAGCTTCCTTATCATTTCCTTGCTCAAACCAAAACTCCATGATTGTGGCTTTCACGACCGCAATCTCATTGTAATCCCCACTCACTGAACATTTCTAGTCACACGGGAAGAAAGGTTCAATGGCAAGGCCATACGCCCCTTTGGCTCCTCGCGGAGTATAGCTCACATCCAAATATCATATCTGATTGGGGAACAGGGCAACACCCATGAAGCTCCGACGGAAAGGGCCTACATCCGTTGATGCACTTCGTTGACTAGTGAAGGGTTTTTCCTTGGGGCCCACGTTTCCACTGGGGTCGCTCATCTTACTCTAGGGTAGCACTCTCTAACGAAAGAAAGAGTGGTTGTGCTTCACTACTAGCCAAGTCCATGCAGATGGGGATAAGGGGGTTCAAGGAAAGAAAAAACCAAGTCGAAAACTTGAGCATCCCCCGAGGAGACAAGTTTCCGCTTTAGCACATCAAAAATTCTCTTGGCACTAGTGAAATCACCGTCGTCTTTCAAGTGGCCGCGAATCAGATGGTTAAGAACAGAGGAACCCACATCTTCTTCCTTCTTCATCAATCTCCTGACGAAATTCAGAGCGCTTTAAAGCTTGTCCGCATCAACCAACCCTTTGGCCAAAAGCTGGTATGTGTCCTCGTTTGGACGGAGGAAAGGAACGTTTTCCAATAAGTGACCGTACAGGGCAAATGCTTCCTGGAGTCGATTTTGCTCACAAAGGGCTCCGATGATATGATTGCAGAAAGAGATGTTGGGTTTGAGGTTGTAGTCGTTGAAGAAGTAATGGAAGAGATTTAATGCGTCGTTGTAGCGCTTGGCTTTGCACATTGCACCGATTATGGCCTCGCAGATCTCTGTGGTGACGTTTTGACGGCGTTTTGTGAAGATGGCGTAACTCGAGAGCTCTGCCGCGTCGTTGAGGTTTAACATCTTGATCATGAGCTTAACTCTGGTGTTTAGATGGGTGGCGCACCATTCCATTTTAGCCCTCGTCGGAGGCGTCAGGGGTGGTTACGACGGATCTCTCGGGAGATGGAAAGGGACGGCGGTGGCTGAGATGGGAGAAGGATGGGGAGAGAGGAGACTTGGCGGCGGAGCTGGTAGATCGGAGAGGAGAAAGAGAGGGCGGAGCGGAGGTGGAGGCGGAGGCTGAGGAGAGACATTATGACCACCTAAGACCACAAGCAGTGGTACACTCTTTACCCGAGAGTGTGAGTAATTTTAAAACAAAAAATATTGCAAATGTTGGAAAAGTTACACAGTTCGAGTGTGGGATAACACCCGAATGTGAGCCACGTGGGAGCATTTGGTTGGTAAGCTCTTCTTCTCTCATCTTCACACTCCCTATCTCTCTCTATCTCTCTATCTCTCTCTTCTCTCTCTTTTTTATTATATTAATATAAATTTATTAACATCTATCTCTACAAATACACCATTGCTGATGCCCTAAGAGCAACCCCAATAGAGGGATGGAAGAGAGTCCCTCATAATTTAAATAATATTAAGATTAATTAAAGTTGGAGAGAGAAAGAGATAAAAGAGAAAATGTTTCTTAACTAAGAAACGAACCTAACAAAAACTGGACAGATGTCATTTTACAACTGATTCATATATTAAAAATAATTAAAATATATTTTTACAATTAAAATATTAATATTTTCGTTTTTAAGGAACTCATTTTTCCTCTCTTGCGTTGGGGTTGCTCTTAGGGTTTCGAGAAAAAGTACGAAACTAAACTCTATTTTATTTTCTTTTTTCCCTGATCTATATCGAGTCTAACAAGGATAGAGAAGGTGAGATCCATGGATAATTTGGTACATTTGGAAAGTAAGGAATGAAAAAATCTTTGATAATGTGGATAAAGATCGATTAGAGGTCTTACGTTTAGCGGAGAAAGAGGCGAAATCGTGGCAGCTAGCTCAAACTGAGCTCCATACTGATAACCATGGTTTTTTAGATAATGAAAATCGAAACCGAGTGAGGGAAATTTCATTGGAGCCTAATTATTCAGGATATCGTTGTTTCATAGATGGATCATGGAAAGGAACCGATACTTTTTCAGGAACAAGATGGTATTGTACATCATCAAATGGAGAGATGCCAACCATGGGAGCTGCCAACATCCGTAGAAGTCTATCTCCTCTACATACAGAAGTTGAAGCTCTTCTTTGGGCGATGAAGTGTATGATTGGTGCTGACAACCAAGATGTAGCTTTCTTTACAGACTGTTCAGATTTGGTGAAGATGGTGTCTTCTCCAACCGAATGACCGACATTTACAGTGTATCTGGAGGACTTTCAGAGTGACATGGAAGAATTTTCAAGCTTTTCTTTATCTTTAATTCCTCGTAGCGCAAATGTAAAAGCGGATAAATTGGCTCGACAAGTTCGTACCGAACCGCTTCATATCACATATGTAAACAACATTCCCCAAAAATGGCTATTTTGAGCTTTAATTTAAGCGGTTGACAAAAAAAAAAAAAGGATGAAATCCACCGCGGTGTGTGTTCCATAAAGTACGATTCCATTGGCGAAAAAAAAAAGAAAAAAAAAGTACGATTACATTAGGTCTGCTTCCTTCTTCTGCAGGCCCATCTTGTAATTTACCCAAAATGGAACTTTGTTTATATAGAATGACGACATGTTGTAAACTTGTAACATTACTAATACACGAAAGATACGAAATGAAATGATCTCACATCTTAAAATGTTTTCATTTTTCTATTTTTTTGTCAACCCCATTTAAAAATATGTTATATTAGAAATATGATAGTCTTGTGTCGTGGTTTTGATTTTGATTTTTGATGTCAAAGAAAAAAAAAGCTTATTCTACCTGTAATCTCGAAGTGCAGTTTATGGGCCGAAATAAATGGGTCATGTTTCATCTCATTTCTCTTTTGGAAGAAACGGCGCCGTATAATGTCTTTTAGTTAAAGCTTTACTACTTTTACTTTGGCCAATTTGATTTTTAACCGCATCCTATCTACTTTCAGAACCGTTTCTGTCCGAGTCCCGCAAGACGAAAGAGGTGAGCAAGGGAGTGCGGCACTGCATTAGCCAGCTAGGTTTACTCCCAAAAACCCGACTTCTTCGGGACCAATACTCTGATTGGTTTGGTTTGCTCTGACCTGCTCGTACAATTAGGACACAGTTTAGATTTGGCCAAAGTTGGATAAATGCAAACTGACCAGACCCTCTATCAAGCTAGAACACATAGCGACTCTGTATCTACCACATAGCTTTGTCTGCAACCACCAACACAAGGACCATCGCCCCAACCAGAACACCGAAGATTTTTGTTATGCAAACATCAAAACAGATCATCCAAAAGAGAGTTTACCTTAGACTACGGTATATAATGCAGCCCAACTCCACAGAAGATTCTCAAACAACGGATCAGCCATCAGAGCAATTTAAAGATAGAGAGGGACACTTCTTTAGGTTGTACCGACTGAGTAGTCCCAAAACCCACCACATGAGTCTGATCCTGTCAATTCACACAAGATTAGTAGCTCTTTAGCTCCAAAATATTGAGAAAAGTGCATCAACTAATAGTGAAAAAGGTGAAAATACATGCCAAAATTTCTCTGTCCCATTAAATTTCTATCCCAGTCAGACCAGTTACACCCTTCCTCTGCGTATTCTCTGATATATGCTTTGAAACAAGAAAATATTTAAGAAGAAATAAAAGTCAAGTTGGTTGACTAGGTCAATATCAGTAGTTTTGTTCTTAAACTTCCCTTCCATTTAGATCCAGCAATTTCTATGGTCATTAATTATCCAATTAAGTTGCTCTCCAGAAATTAATAAGACTGAGAAATCAGAAGCCTAGAAACCATTTAAGCAGTTCAAAACACACCACCAGCATACCTAATTGTTAGGGTAAGTGAGGGAGGAAAAACAAAAGGCCTGCATCATAATGAAGAAAAGTGGAGATCTAGCATTTAGACTGGTCCATTACCCACAGTTTTTCCAGTAAACTAACACATCTCCCATGGCGATGCCATTAAGAAACACCACCCATGCCTGAATACATATGCATATAAAACCCAAATACAACTACCATGATAGACCCTCCCCTTCCCGTCTAATCTTCATGTAAGACTCACTTCAACAGTAACATCACAGGGCCTATCTAGTTAACCAAAAAGCAAAACATCAAAAGGTATAATAGATTTTCTTTTACCTACATTGGTACGACCACAGCTTTCCCTGTCTCCTCTAATGATAAGCCTCACCTAAAACACAAGCAACCTGAGTAAGACAAGCAAAAGCACCAAAGTGGTGCAATACAAATTACCCTCATCATCAGAAACCGATAAAGAGAATGGAACAGGAGCTTTCCATGTCTTATCTAATGAGAAGATCACCTAAAACACAGACAATCAAAGTAAAGACAAGCAGAAGCAATAAAGTGATGCTGTGCAAAATATCCTCATCATCATAAATCCGATTCATCCCAATTGTTATAAAGTTTCTGCAACATAAATCCCTGATGACAGATAGACAAATTGATGTCAAAATATTGCTATGGGAACTAAATCACGTCCATCAGAACCCCAACAAAACGTAATTTTCCATCTAAAAATTAAACATTCTGCAGTTTCTTCCACCCAAAAGAGCTTCTTCCCCAGCTATTTCATGCAGTTTCTAACAGTCTGGAACTTCTTCATCTGTCTCTCTCCCACAGACAAACCTACAACAAGAAAATTCTTGTCAAATAAACACATGACACTTTCAGGTTTCATATTTTTCAATTCATGAAACAGAATAAGCTGTTGTACATAGAAATCAACCTGTATTCTGGTCCAGATAAAACATTTGACCCGAGTACGATTTTCGCTTCTTTAAGCCTACTTCGAAGAGACTCGTTAATTGTGTAGTGGATTCCTTGTTCTTCCAACTCAGCCACAAAAATTTTACATTGCGCCACGTTCTTCTTGAGCTTCTTTTCTATCTTCACTGGATCCTTCTCTTTTGGAACTGTGTGATCTTTAGTAGCTGTGTAGGCGTGCAGGAAAGAGGTAATTATTTTTTCATCTAAATGTAGCTTTTCTTCCTTCATCTTCTTGTGTGCTTCATCTATCAACCCACCTCCTAATATCATGTCGACCAATGCTACCTTGTGTCTCCTCTCAACAAGAACTTTATGAGTTTTCATATACTCAATAATGTTCTCATTCGCTAATTCCAATCTCCTCTTAGCTGTCAAATCAACTAGCCGATATGCTCTAATCAAACCCCTGAATGAGACACTGGTAGGTGAACCTACATGAAGAAGCTTCCGGAAACACATAAGCGAATACACTGGGTATGTCCTAGCAAAGGCATGTATCAAGGTGTTGAGAAGTTTCCTGTTGAAATCATCGGTAAATTTCAAGACTTCTATCATGCCCTCAAGCTTCCGATTTTGGCAATAAGCAGAGATCAGATTGTGCCTCATTGCCATCTCCAGTCCTGTCTTTATGCTGACACAATGTAGAGACTCCGCCGTCCTAATGCAGCAGCTGCTCCCTCCGAGAACGAGACTGAACATTTTGTGGAAAGCTCCCACTTCGATCGGACGGAGGGACAGACCTCTTGCGCATGGAATGGAGTAGTCGACGGTCCCAACTGTAATTGTGTCACCTAGGAATAGAAAAAAACGGTTCAATTAGAAACTCAAGCAACAAACTTAAACAGATCTTCAAAATCTTCTAAGAAATTTTTGTTGTACCTGGCGCAAAATATACACCAGAGGTAGCCACAATATCTCCTGCAAGTGCACATTCAACTTCCTGATATTGAAGTACAAAAAGTGTATTTTATTCCACTCAAAGTAACACCCAAGTTACAAATGATCACTGTAATAATTTTCAAAAGTTGCTAACCTTTAGCCCATCCCAAGACACACGGAACAAGAGATTTATCTGCATAAGTACACAAAAATTATCCTGAGACAAAATACCTTATAAAGTGCAATGTGTTCATACGAGATTATCATATGTCAGTTTAACAAATAGGCCTCTGAATTAATCTAAATGGAAGATAGCTTACCTCAAACATTTCGTCTGTGGTGACATTTAGAATACGAGACCCTTTTTTTTCCAAACCCTCGAATAGCCTTCCATTCATCACAGATACAACAGAACTTGTCAACACTTGAAAATCCAAACTACAACAACTACTAAAGAAACTAGCTGCCACTTGTAAAACAATCGGAGAAATTCTACCTTATGTATGAAAACATTGGAGAATGTTGTTTTTCTAAACAGTCCTCGGATGAAAAAACTAATCCCACTAGCGATTCCTCTGGATTTCCACTCAGCATTACCTAAATCAAACTAATATTTAGAAACCAAAATTCTGCCACTCAAAATTACTTAAAACACACTAATGCTCAGAACCAAAATTCTTTACCTTCTTTTCATATTTGTCGTGATCAACCGCAGTAACGTTGACTTCAAGTGGGCAAGGGAGGTATTCTAAAATGCCATCCAAGAGAGACTGTACATCAAGAGTAAAAAAAAAAGAAAAGAAAAGAAAAAGGACTAAGCAAACAAATATGAAAATGAAAAGTTAGAGGAAAACTATTGTGAGCTAAGTGTTACCTTGCATTCCAATGCAACTCCTACAAAGGCAGGTACAAATTGTCTAGCTACTGTGGCCCTACGTATAGTTTCCTGCAAGCAAGTTAACAAAGTATAAATAAGTTATATTATTAAGAGCTGT